AGGAAGACCAATCGCCACAACAGGCTGCTGGTCCTCTATGACTACCATCCCGAGCGCAGCACGCCCCAGGTGCAAGGGCGGACGGGACGGCAGGGGCAGATTATGGAAGGTTATTCTAGGGTGATTGAGAAGCATATTCTAGAGGTATCTCCAGATTGTGTTGTGTGATGAGGCTCCTCCTCCACCTGGATCCTCCTTCGCTCCCGCTTCTCATTTCTATTCATCTCTGACTCCTCACGTTGTGTGCATCCTCGTCTATCCTCGCTGCCGCCCCCCCCCCATAGGTGACGCAAGTGGACGCTGTGTTCTTCGACTCGGAGGAGCTCGCTGAGAAGGCCCTCATCGAGTTGGCAGAGATGCACATGGCAGGCGAGACGGGCGGAGGAGGGAGGAAGCAGAGGCCACAGGGAAAGCCCTGGAGAAGGGCGAGGAGGAACGGAATTGTGTATACGGACCCCTCGATGCATTGAACATCTACAGAAGCAGCAGCAATAGCGCAGAACATGGAGGAGGAGGAGGAGGAGGAGAAGAGGAAGAGGATGAGGAGGAGGAGGGAGAATGAGGATGACAATAATCGCAGCAGAGGGGGACACACCAGCAGGGGTCATGATTCAGCCCAAGGCAAGTCCAAGGAAGAGATCGAGACCAAAAAGAGCGAGATGTTCTCGAACCTCCCTGCGTACGTGAACTGGACCCCTGCGCAGCGAAATGCAGAGGGGGAATTAGGGGGGAGGATATGATATGGAGAAGGGGGATGGGGGAGACACGGGAGGGGGGAGGGAGAGGGCAGGGGAAGTGAGGGGGGGGAGAGATTCCCCCCTTTCCACTTTCTGTTCATCCTTTTTCATCGCCCTCTCGGGGCTGGGGGGCACTCTCGCACAGGATGGCAGAGAGAGGCAAAGGAAAGGGCAAAGGAACAGCAGCGCAGGCAGCAGCAGACGCCAGAAAGCGCCCAGCAGCAGCCGAAGGCGCCAGAAAGCGCCCAGCAAAGCAGCCCGAGGAGCCAGCAACACCCACAGCAGCAGCGGAGCCCGAGGAGTCAGACGAGGCCGATGCAGGGAAGCAGGAGGAGCCAGAGGCGACCCCCGACACGCCACCACCGAAAAGGCGGCGACTCTCGACGAAGCAATCGGAGGCAACGAGTGCACCAATTGATGACTCATGGTCGCCGATCTGCGGACCCGGTGACGACATGTTCGACGAGGCTGCCTCCAGCGAGGAGATGGGGGACAAGGATTCGGATGCGCTGCCGCGCGGACCTGCGTAGCCTCGCATCGGTTGCCAGGACAAACAAGCGCGCGAGGAGGGAGGGGGGGGAAGAGGAAGGAGGAGGACGACAAGGCAGATTTGGAGCATAGAGAAGGCAGATGAAGGGGAGGATCACGAGAAAGAGAAGGCGGAGGATGGGGGAGGATGAGGAGGAATATAAAACGATATGACGATGTGAGCAAAACGACGGTGCGAGCGAAATGTACGTTCCGAATGTGGGGCGAGACCTCTGCGAATGGGGTCAGAACCCAGAGCCAAGGGCTCATCCTGGTCCTCCTCCCTGCTCATCCCCCTCCTCCTCCCCTCGGACTTCTCGGCTTCGGCGTCGTCGCCCTCGTCCTTCTTTAGACCCCCTCTGCTCTTCCATTACTTTGCCTCGACGGAACTCGCGGTAACGCCTCTCGTGGTCGGCTCGGAAGGGTTCTGATTTTGTTGCCACCCCCCGCGCCAAATATTCCCCTCCTGCGCCGACGCCTCGCCGATGTGCGACCAGCAGAAGGCTCCAGCGTGGTTCCAGGGGGGCACGCCCGAGACTATCGACAGCAGCAGCAGTCCAGACAAAGAAGGCAGCCTATGTTGAACCGAATCTGTTCTGAGAGGGGACGGGGACTGGGCGAGAGAGAGAGAGAGAGAGAGAGAGAGAGAGAGAGAGAGAGAGAGAGAGAGAGAGAGAAAGAGAGAGAGAGAGAGAGAGAGAGAGAGATACAGACAGAGATACAGAGAGAGGGGGAAGGGAAGGGAAAACCACGGTGGAGGCGATGGGGTAGCTGGCGAAATATAGTTCTACAGGCACAGGTGACTCGCTGACCGACGCCCAGCCCTGGGGCCGAGTTGGCGACTGTAATCGTGGCCCTGCTCCACTTGGGGATACGGCAGCTACGACGTTAGATGACAGCCGAGTTTTCCAGGAAGGATTTCCCGAGGTTCCCCGCGCTGCCCCTCTTGGCCCTCGTGATCATGAAAGCACTGCGCCGCGCGCTCCAGGTGCTATGCCGACAACTGAATCCCCCCTGCCCCATTGTCTTTCCCCCTCCCCGAACCCTGTCCCTCGCGCGTGCCCTCTGAGGGGCAGGGGGCTGGGCGTGAGGCTGAGGAGACACCATTCTCGTCAAATCGCTCGCGTCACCCGACCGTGCTCTCCCCTTGGGGCCCCCGCATGATGAACCAGCCCGTGCTCGCGGGCATCGAGCAGGACTTAAAGAACAGCATCGCTGGCCGCATGTCTGACGTGCCGCGGGCGGGTTAGAGCAGGGGGGAGTCGAGGCTCCCCCACTCCCTCCCCCCCCCGCCTCCTCAGCTCCACAAATCAAATGGCCTTGGGAGAGGGGGGGGTGAGGGAGAGGAGGAGGAGACGATCAACACTAAGAGAGTGGGAAAGGCGAGAGGCGGGTGGAAGCGAGGGAACGGATTGAGGTTGGGGAGTGGAAGCGGAGAGGAGGAGAGGTCCGGGGGAGCAGAGGATCGAGTGGTAAGCAACGTGAGTGGGATCCAGAGGTGCCCCCAGAATTGCTCGGGAAACCAGCTGCACCAACTGGAGGAGGGACTGTGGCGGACGACTTCAAGGCGGACCCTCTGCTCGAGGCCTTGCCTGCCGCCGACTACAAAGTGCTGGCAGACAGCACGCTCGGGGGCCGCTTCAAGAGGCCTTGTTGGGAAGCAACGGAAGTGTCATCGTCTCTTCCGCCCTCTGCTTCCCTGTCCCTCTTTTCGAGAAGGGTCGGGTGTTGCTAGAAGTGCCCCTGGCCCAAGGTGCCCCCAGGATTTCCACGGAGGCCCCCACGGCCTCCAGAGCACCCCTGACGAGGTCCAGAGCGCCCCAGGTGCTCCAACATTCAACGAAAAGCTGGGGGCACCTTTGGCCAGTGGCACTTCTAGCAACACCCGGGGAGGAATGGTATCTCGCCACTCCTCCCTCTCACTCCTCCTCCCCCCCTCCCTGCCTGCGCCCCTCGTGCAGCAGGAGATGGGGGAAGGGGGGAGGGGGGGGTTATGAACATGATTCCTGCTCCCCCTCCGTCCCCCACTCCTCCCCCTGAGGATGAGGATGGGGGGGGGTGAGGAAAGCAGTTGAGGTGGGCGCCCAGCCATCTCGCACTTAGTAGCCAACTAGCTACTAGGCGCGAGATGTCTATACCGAGTATCCGCAGAGCAAGGTTTGTGGAATCTCTGCCGTCCAAGAAACGGATGGAGTACGACAAGAAGTCAGCCAAGGCGAAGAAGGACTTCAAGCGAGATTGGGCCATCGAGCAGTTCGATCGGTACCAGAAGCAGAAGGAGCATTGCACGAGCCTGGTGCAGAAAAAGAAGGAGCGGGCCGAGTTGTGCAACTTCGACGTGATTGTCGATCGGGAGGGGGGGCACCACTCGCAGGCCGCGATCATCGGAGCTTACAATTACTGCGCGATGGCAGCGAGCATTGGCTGGTACCCATGTGGAAAGCGAAGCGGTGGCGGACGCTACCTCCTTTCCCGTTTCTCTGCGCCCTCCTCACACCACACCGCCCCCTCCCCCCGCCTTCCTTCCCCACCCTCCCCGTCGCATCTGTCACCCCTCCATTCCCTACCACTAACCTCAGCCCTGCATCAGAATCATGAAGCCCCCCCCCCCCCCCCCCCCCCCCATCATCCCTCCCCCCCCCCCCCCCCCCCCCACACACACACACACACTCCCACCACACACACACACACACACACAACACACGACACACACACACCCCAAACACACCACACACACACAACACACCACACACACACACACACAACACACACACACACACACCGACACACACGCACACACACACCACACACCACACACCACACACAACACACACACACCACACACACACACCACACACACACACACACACACACCCACACACCCACGCACAACACACACACACACACACACACAACACACAACACACACACACACACACTACACACCGCCACCACCCACCACCCCCCTGCCCCAAGTGGCCAGGTACAAGTACAACGCCTGGACCAAGAGGGTGGAGTTCGTATACAAGAAGGTCGGATGGGAGACGGTGTTCGAGGAGAAATGGGCCATGCAGGAGAAAGAGGCGGCTTTTTTTGGATGGGGTGGAAGGCGAGGGACGACGAGATGAGAGTAGATGGAAGGAGGGTGGAGGAGGGCGTTAGAGGAGGGCAAGGGGATGGATCGAGAGGAAGAGGGATGGGGGGAGCAAGGCGAGCGAATCAGATGCTCACATGTGAGTTTGCGGGGCGCCGATTTGCGTTGGATCAGCAGCTGGCGTAATGGCGGGCATTGGAAGCCGCTCGCGTCTCGAACATAACGCGGCTACAGTATGTGCAGAAGGCGAAGAATAAGACGCAGGCGGTGATGGGCGCCTCTGCCATGACCCCGAGGATGATGAAGGCTTCTTCGGCTTGGAAGTGGGGTAGTTTGGGCATCAGTTAAATATGGTTGTGCAGATAGAGATGGGAGGGGAATCAGAGGATGCAGAAGAGAAGACATGAGAGGGAGGACTCGATGGACGAGGGGCTGAGAGTCGTGCCACATATTCGACCCAACCCCCTCTATAGAGCATACGCCTGGAACTTCACAATCGCCCCCCCCACCCCCCGGGCCCCCCCCCCCCCCATCGCTGTAGCATGGTTTCACGTGGTCTGTTCCCCCTAGGCCCCAATGCAAGAGTGAGACGCATCCTTTGAACATATCTCACCTGGCTCCCGCTTGTCCCCCCCCCCCAGGCGGAAGTGCTGCCCATCGTCGGCCAGGTCGCGGAGACTCCAGAGAAGGGCTACAGCAAGGTTGTGAGCACGCCCGCGCACTTGGGGATCCCACTCAAGGCTGGGGCGAGCAGCAGCTCTGGCGGCTACGGCCAGTTGCTGGTGGCCGCTGGCGCGCAGCAAGCGATCAGCGGCCCGAGCGGGCAGACGGGCAACGGCCAGAGCGGGGGCGCACAGATGGGCAGTGGCTCCTCTGGCGTCGGAGCCTGCAAGCCAGACGGGCGGCGGCGCGGGCTCAGGTGGCGCTGCGCTGGGACAGGAGGAGGCGGGGCACGCGCAGGGCCAGGAGAAGCAGGCCACTGGGCAGTGGGATGATTGCGAGCGGGGAGGCGAGGCTGCTGGCGCTGGGGCAGGTAGGCGCGAGGAAACGGCGGCGAGCGCCGAGGCGCCAGGCGGCGCACCAGGGGGGGCGGGCGCTGCTGCGGGCGGCGAGGCAACGCCAGAGGCTGCAGGAACGCAAGAGGATTCAGGAAAGCCAGAGGCTGCAGGAAAGCCAGAGGCTGCAGGAAAGCCAGCGGAGGTGCAGCCTGAGAAGCCTGGAGAGCCTGAGCCCGCGGCGAAGCAGAAAAAGAGGAAGGGCACGACTGGGGGAGGGCCTGGAAATAAGAAGAAAAAGGGCGGTGGCAAGGCCGAGTCCACTGAGGGGCCCGAGGCCAAGGAGGTCCTCAAAACAGCCCTGGCAGCCACGCAGGCCTATAAGGTAGCAAAAGGGAAAGCCACTTCCATCCTGAAGCAGATCGACGAGTCCGATCTGCCTCACTGGGTGGTCTGGGATGTGCGAACAAGGGTCAGGAGAAACAACGAGTGGGGCGTGCACAAGGGGAGTCTGGTCGGGAACATTGGCAACGATCGACAGGGAGGAGGCGAGGAGGCGTGATGAAGGACAGGGAGGAGAAGGGGGTAGTTACGGGGAGGTTACAGCTCTCTTCATTCCCTGTCTGTGGCCATGCTTACCCTCCTGCCACCCCTGAGCTCATACCAATTGCGTCCTGGCTGTTTGTTGGTGTTGTGCTCGTGCTGAATCATTGCTTTCGGCTAGCCCCCAGCCCAGGCGTGTTTTCGCAGCACGCCCGAGCAGAGGCAGCTGCGCACGGTCCTGAGGTCGATGCTTTCGAAGTGCGCCGAGAGCCCTTTGGCCGAGCTGATGACTACCATGGACGTGGAGGGCGCCAAGGATCGATGCAGTTTTCAGCCCGACCATCCATCCAGCGAGCGATATGCTCGTGCCCCACCTCCTCCGTTCGACCCTCTACACGCCCTTGTCCTGCCCCATCTCTCCTCCTCCACCTCCCCCACGTTCTCCTCACACTTCGCTACCTCCCACCTCTGTGCCAGTTGAGACATGCGCAGACTTGTGAAGATTGCAGAATTTGGGATCGATCGTGAGCTTGATGTCTCGCCCCCACCCCCGCCCTCGCTGCCTCCCCCGCCGGCAGACCCTGTTCGACGGCAAGTTCGACGTGGCTGTGTCGGACGCCCCTGGCTTGCTGGGCGCGGCCGTCGAGACGGTCATCAAGAAGTGCGACGGGTTCGTTCACATGACCGAGTGCAGGAAGAACTATTTCGACGACGTTTGAACCACCCACTACCCAAGCAACTCCACGGGCTACATTAACTAGGATGCATGCGTGCGCCCATTGCATGCTCGAGGGGCGAGATATGAAGGACGCAGTGGGAATGGATGAATGAGTCTACCGACTCGCCGAATCTGCCTGCCTCTGACCGCGCCCCTCTCCCGCTGCCTGCCTCTTCCTCCTCCTCGTCTACCCTTTCCCCTCCCCCCTTCCCTCCTCTACGTCGTTCCCTCCCTTCATTCCCGCAAACCCCTATCGTCAACTACGGTGGAGCAGGAGCGGCAGCGCAGGGAAGGACGATTGGAAGGGGATCCAGGAGAGGTCTTGAGCAAGAATCGGGGGAGACAGGCGGACGAGGCGCAGGGGGAAGGGCGCGCGCAATTAGGTCTGGAGTGCGCGGGGGAAAGGAGAGATCGGGAACGCCCGAATCACCCAGACCCCATCAAAATTGCAGCCAGATTTTATCCAGATTCTATCCAGATTCTGTCCATATCCTGTCCAGACTCACTTCTGAGAACCAGGATCTGATGTAAAACACAATGGAAAATGCGCAGATGTGGCGATCCATTGTGAAAACACACAGAAATGCGCAGACCCTAGACTCTCTGTGAAAAAAAACACATAACGGTCCGTCCAGAAATTGTCCAGATCTTCGGGGGACAAGAAACACTGTGAACACACAGCAAAAAATGCGCAGATCCGTCCTAAGATGACAATAAAAATGCGCAGATGCTGGAAAACATGTAAAAACACATATAACGGTCCATCCAGAAAATGTCCAGATCCTGTCCAGATCGCGATCCATTGTGAAAACACACACAGAAATGCGCAGACCCTAGATTCTCTGTGAAAAAATACATAACGGTCCGTCCAGAAATTGTCCAGATCTTCGGGGGACAAGAAACACTGCGAAAACACAGCAAACAAATGCGCAGATCCGTCCTAAGATGACAATAAAAAATGCGCAGATGCTGGAAAACTTGCGAAAACACATATAACGGTCCATCCAGAAAATGTCCAGATCCTGTCCAGATCGCGATCCATTGTGAAAGCACACACAGAAATGCGCAGACCCTAGATTCTCTGTGAAAAAACACATAACGGTCCGTCCAGAAATTGTCCAGATCTTCGGGGGACAAGAAACACTGTGAAAACACAACAAAAAATGCGCAGACCCGTCCTAAGATGACAATAAAAATGCGCAGATGCTGGAAAACTTGTGAAAACACATATAACGGTCCATCCAGAAAATGTCCAGATCCTGTCCAGATCGCGATCCATTGTGAAAACACACACAGAAATGCGCAGACCCTCGATTCTCTGTGAAAAAACACATAACGGTCCGTCCAGAAATTGTCCAGATTTTCGGGGGACAAGAAACACTGTGAAAACACAACAAAAAATGCGCAGATCCGTCCTAAGATGACAATAAAAATGCGCAGATGCTGGAAAACCTGAGAAAACACATATAACGGTCCATCCAGAAAATGTCCAGATCCTGTCCAGATCCGATCCTGATCGCGATCCACTGTAAAAACACACGCAGAAATGCGCAGATGTTGGAAAACCTGTAAAAACACATATAAAACACCATCCAGATTTCGTCCAGATTCCATCCAGATTTTGCCCAGATCCTGTCCAGATCCGGTCCCCCCCCCCCGCCCGCTCCCCTTCTGACTCATTCTCCCCTCCTCTCCTTCATCCCCCCATGCTGTCCCTCCCAGGGCTGACGGATCTGGGGGCATGAGCTTCCCCATCCCACATTGTGCGTTTGACCTGAGTAGGGAACATGCTCGGTCGCGCCAGTAGTTCGTTCAACCTCCCTCCCGTTTCCGCGCAGCTTGTCTCCTTGCCCATCCCAGCCGCGCGTTGTCGGCGCGACAATACCAGGGTGTTTGTCTGTTGCGTTCGGGCATGATTGGGGCGCGAAATTCGGTGCGCATTTGGCGCGTGCTTTTAGTCAGCTGGTCTGGGGCAGGTTAGCTTGGGGAGTAAACTGGCCCAGAAACTAAAACCATTCAGAGTATCATCGTGGGTCGAATGGGGGGGGATGGCCGCAGAAGGGATAACAGAAGGGAGGATGGGGGAAGAGGACAAGCAGGGAGGAGATTGAGGCGCAAATCTCCCGAGTTCTCTGCAGACCAGGCTGAAGCAGGTGCCCCTTGTCGGGGTGGACACCAGCAGGATGTGCTGCTGGGCCGTTTAGTTTCAGGGCTCTTGCTGGCCTCGAGCTCGAGGCAGAGCAGCGAGCCCCAACTCGGGGAAAAGTTCGGTGGCGTCCCCCTCTTCATTGGATTTCCTGCAGCCCCTCCCCGCCCGCCTTTCCCATCCCATTTCTGTCAGGCTTCTGCACCTGACTGGTCACAGTGCCAGGCGAACCTATGGCCGAATCAATCACGAAGAGCTGCTCAGGGAAATGGGGCGTCGAATAACGCCTGGGGGCAATGCATATGTTGCCTTTGTCCACCGTGATATGGAGGCCTGACCCCCCTCCCCCTCATCATAGCCCTCGTCCTGTTCTACCTCTTCCTTCTCTTCCTCTTCCCAAAGCGGCCCACAATCGCCATGTCCATGCAAGCCGCTCTGGGCTGGGAGGTGAGCCAATAAATTTCAAATCACTCTCCTCGCCCTCCTCCCCCACCCACTTGCCCCTCCTCCACCCGGGAACCCCTGGACCATGAGCCCTTGGACCCCTGGGCCTGCGGACGTTTCATGAAGTACGCAATATCCTTTCAGTATGTGTCACTCCCTCCTCTTATACGATCATGCGCACCCCATTCGCGCAAGTTTCGCATCGTTCGAAATGTCCATCTCTGCTCCACGGCGTCTGTCCGCACTGCCCCCTTTCGCAGTGCTGACTGACGCAAGAGCAGCTGCGTTAAAGACACGGGCAAACCACTTAGGGTCTGGCATCAGGAAGGCCCCCACAATCGTCTTCCTGATCTCACTCTGTTTCCTTAGATGCCTCCCCCTTCTCTCATCAAGCGCTCGGTATTACCCTTCTCCCCAGTCTTCCCCTCCCTCACCCCATCCCCCGTTCTCGAATTCACCCCTCCTCACCCCCATGCATCATCATGATCTTCCCACTGTAAAACGTTCGAGTCAAGCATTAGGTTCCAGCAGCCTGCATGTATCAGACTCACAATGCCGCCAAAAAACGAGGGCGCCCTGCATGGGAAGAGGCACTGTCTGATGGCAGCGAGGCAAGCTCTGCATCTGGGAGTGCGGCACCTGCAGCTGGCGCAGCATCTTGGGACCAGCCCGATCAGCCAAGCTCCGACTCAGAATCAGAAGTCAGCTCGTCCACCTCAGCCGAGACAGACTGGGACGCCCATGCGAATGATGACCGCGATGCAGAGGAAGCAGGCCAGATTTTAGTCGATCGATGGCTCAGATTGTATTCGGAGGGGCGCATGAGCGCGAAGGATGTTTGTTTGAACTGTTATTATGCACACATGGCTGGAGCAGCGGGCCCGTTCGCCCAGTAATCGATGAGAGAAACAAAAGACACGGGCAATTATCAAAAAAAGTTGGATCGAGCTTTGCGTATTTCAACAGATGTAAAACAGGTACAGGTGGGCGTGCCAACAATGAAAAACAAACACGATAGGTGCATGACAGACGTCCTCATGACCCCTCCCCAGGAAGCCCTTGCATCTGAGTTTCTTGCATCTGCAGAGCTGCGGGACCAATGTAGTAGAGTTGAAACGTCTGAAGATTGGCACGTCGCATACGAAGATCATCCTGTCGTAGAAACTGCACGGGAGGCGGGGGAGACAGTGATGCCAGTTGCTTTATACATAGACGGGGTGCGTTACACCCGGGCGATCGGCGTGGGGCGTCAAGATCAATTCATCGGTTTTTTTCTGTACTCCCTCGTCAGCAGGAAGAGGCACCTCATCTGCATGCTGCGCAAGTCGCGTCTCTGCAGATGTGGATGCAAAGGGTGGTGTTCGTTTTTCCCAGTTTTCGCATTTTTGCGGTGGGCCTTCCTGGCCCTCGCCAACGGCCAACGGCCGACGGCGAATTGGAACGGCAGCCCTTGGGAGGAAGATCACCATCTAGGCAGATTGCAGCAAGAACACCCTCGCCTCCCCATGCGCGCAGCACTCGTCCAAGTCAAGGGGGATTGGAGCGAGTTCTGCCACAGCCTGGGCTTCCCCACATGGACGAGCAAATTTTCGCCATGTATTTTCTGCCA